AGTTGCCCCAGCACTCGCAGCACACAGTCGTCGGCAAGATGATGGAGCGGCACATGCTGGACCTGGGGCAACAGCACGACCGCTTCGCAAGCACCCTCGAGCTCAGCCTGTGCGAGAGCATCGGCATCCCAGAGGAAGAGCGTGGACGACACCTCGGGCACAGCAGGCCCCCGAGCTACAAGAGCGTGAGCATCAAGGACACCGTCACCTCTACGCCATGGGCAGGGGTCGAAAGGAAGATCCACGCGTGGTGGGCGGAGATCTCCTCCTTGGCGCGGCAGCTCTCGCACCATGATGCCCGAGCGCAGGAGGCAGCAGCAAGTCGACAGGGCAAGACCCAGGCACTTCCCGATGAGGACTCAGGAGGTGGACAGGGCCCGTCGGCGCCTGAGCTTGGCCCCGTCATGTCTGACAGCCAGGTAGGCCACGAAGACGGGGTTCCCGCACCAGCCATGAGCCCATCGAAGAGCTCGGGAGGAAGCTCGGTGGATCGCGCCCCCACCGAGCGGGGTGAGGGGCCCCCCGAGCTGCAGCAGCGGCGTGCAGGCAGTGGAGGCGCAGCAGGAGGCGGCGGCAGTAGCACCAAGGACATCGCGAATCAGCCAGCACTTGAGGAGGTCTCCCCTCCTCAGGCTGAGGTCCAGGAGCTCGCAGAGGGGCCAGCCCAAGAGAGCCCAGAGCGACCCTGCCTCAGCCCAGCATCGCCGCCAAAGGACGCGTCCTGGACCTCCGAGACGGGCGCAGCTTTCCAAGAGATGAGGGCGAGGCGGCCTGGCCCAGAGAAAGAGGCAGGCCCCTCCTCACTCTCCTCGGGGTACCCATCCCCCACACAGGCGAGCGCAGCGGAGCATGGGAAGGCAGCTGGCCCCTGCTCTGAGATGGGTCAGGGGTTCCCGTCCCCCAAGTGCGCCGCCACGGGACGCGTCCCAGACCTCGACGTGGGACCAACCCACAGCAGCGCAGACAGCTGCACAGAAGGGATGCAGAGGGGTGCCCTTCCCCCACCAGCAGGACGCAACACCATGGACATCCAAGATCACGACCCCTTCGAGGATGAGGAGGACTACTTGGAGTACCGCCAGGAGATCGCAGACCAGGAGAACAGCGATGGGTACCACCAGCACATCGAGGGGCAGCAGGACAGCCTCGAGTTCGGCCAGACCGTCCGCCGTCGTGCAGCTGGATCTGCCTTCCCCCCACCAGCAGGACGCAGCACCATGGACGCCCAAGACCACGACCCCTTCGAGGAGGAGGAGGACTGCTTGCAGCATCGCCAGGAGACCGCAGATCAGGAGGACTGCGACGGGCACCACCAGCTCATCGAGGGGCAGCAGGACAGCATCGACCACGGCCAGACCGTTCGTCGTCATGCAGCTGGATCTGGTAAAACTGCCCCAGGTGACACGCACTGCTCACCTCCTCAGCCAGCTGGCACTCTGGAGGCAGAGGGTACCGATCACCTGGGGAGTCAGAACCAAGCGCCGCCAGGCCCAGAGGCAGAGGAGCCACGTGATATGGGCCTGCCCCCACCAGACCTCTGCAATGATGACCAGCACCAGCGGGAGCGGGAAGACTACGTGGCCATGAGAGACGACTTGGAGTATTGGGCGGCCATCTGGATGGATAATTTGGTGCAGCTCCCCACGGACAACAGCAACTGGATGCAGATCTGTGTGCCGTTCCTGGAGACCATCTTGGGTGGCGGAGGCAACAATGGCATGGTGAGGCTGCTCAGGCGTAGGTACCAGCAGGCCGGCCTCAGCCACATCATCAGGGACCTCTGCGAGCGAGCATGGAGACATACAGAACCACGACGCCGAGGCTTTCTCCAAGGCCTTACGCGAGAGGAGCCGACGAGGAGGCACGAATTGGAGATGATGCATTGGAGGGAGCTTGCTAACCCGCGGAGGTTTATGCGAGAAGTTATAGGCGAACGAGCACCAGAAGGAGCAGCTCGAAGACAACTACATGATGCTCCAGGAGCAGGCAGTGGCCCGAGTAGCCGCCGAGAGCTGCAGGTCCGCACCCACAGCGGCCATCAGACGCAGCAGCAGATCAACACAAGACGGCAGCTCGCGCAGCAGCTCAACCAGCCTGACCCAGGCAGGCTGAACGAAGAAGGTGCAGCCAAGGACCAGCAGCAGGCCCTCCTCACATACCTGCACGCGATAGCAGAGGGCGCCCTCGTGGACCCAGGGACGATCAGCAGGGTAGCAGAGGAGGTAAAGAGCATGGCCAAGCTACTCACAAAGGCGGTGAAGAAGGCGTACATCCACTGGGTGCACGACGCCACGGCAGGCAGTGCGAAGATGGCCCACGCCTACACCAAGGCAGCGGAGCGCAGCCACCTGGAGGACATCCTTGAGCACGAGGGCCAGGTCATCAACCACCCGCAGCAGCTGGTGGACTTGCGCAAAGAGGCAGGGCAACGCAGGTGGACACGAGATGCACAGAAGGCCGAGAGGATCCAAGAGGCGCTGGCCAAGCTGAGGCAGGCTGCCTTGGCCCAAGAGAATGCCCCCGAGCCCATCAGCAAGGACATCATCGGCTCCATCATCCAGCACCTGAAGCGCAATGCTGGCCAAGGAGCGGACTGGTGGAGGGCTCCAGAGTTCAAGGCCATGGGCGCCCAGGGGCTGGAAGACTTTGTGCAGTGCCTGACCAGCTGTGAGCAACGGGCAGCGTGGCCGTGGCAATTCTACTTGGTGCTGGAGCTGCTGCTGGGCAAGAAGCCAGGAATCGGCGGTGGGCGCCCCATCGGCCTCATGCCCATGCCGTACCGCATCTGGAGCGCAGCCAGGAGGCCCATAGTAGCCACCTGGAGCAAGGCAGCGGCGGGCTTCTGGGATACGGCAGTAGCTGGCTCCTCAGCGCTACGAGTGGCAATGCACAGACTGATGAGGGCAGAAGCCGCCACGGAGATGGGCTTTCATGCAGCAGGAGTCTTCTACGACGCGGCAAACTTCTACGACAACATAGGCCTCGACCAGCTGATCGAGAAGGCCAGCGCCCTCCAGTGCCCGTTGCTGCCGCTGGCAATGGCCGTGCAGATGTACCTTGCGCCCAGGGCCATCATGGCCCACAGCCTCTTCTCGGACATCTTCGAGCCTGCCAACAGCATGGTAGCTGGCTGTGGCCAAGCGGTCGACCTCACCAGACCGCTCTTACATGGCATCCTGGATGCAGCGCACAGGCACCACATCTTCGTCGTCATGCAGCGGTACCTGGACGACTTGGCCCTGCAGGTAGAGGGTGCGCGGCGGCAGGCCATTGACCAGATCAAGTACGTGGCAGCGTTGGTGCACGATGGATTCAAGCAGCTCTCAATACCCATCTCCGTCAAGACGGCAGTGGTGGCCTCGGACAGGGACCTCCAGGCAGAAGTCGCCAGCATCCTGGACAGCCTGGGCACCCCCAACAAGCAACCAGGTGTAGTGCGCGACCTCGGCGTGGACACCAGCCTCGGCAAGCAGCTGCGGCGACCCACCCATGCCGCGCGCCAGGCCAAGGCCAAGCAGAGGGTGGCCAAGCTCAAGGACCTAGCGAAGACGGACGCCAGAGGCGCGGCAAAGGTCTATTCAGCAGGTGCCTACTGCCAGCAGGCCTGGGACTTACCAGCGCACGGCATCACGCCCACGGAGGCGAAGTCGGTCAGGGCTACGGAGGCAGCGCTCCTCACAGGCGGACACAAGGCTGGACGCTGCACGTCCACCATCCTCCTGATCCAGAGGGGAATGCAAGAGGCAGTAACCCGAGCCATCGGCGACCAGATCAAGCAGTTCTGGCTCACCATAGTCGACCACCCGACGGAGCTCAAGAGGTACCAGAGAGGCTGGCTCCTGCTCTACGCCAAGCTGGACGCCCTGGAACCCAACCGCAGGTGGCAGCAGGTCAAGGGGCCTATGGCAGGGGTCATCGCGCAGCTGCTTGGGTTAGGCTGGATACCGCGACGCCTGGACAGCTGGATCAGCCCAGCAGGTGACGAGTGGGCCTACAAGCCAGATGACATTCCTCACTTCGGCGCGCTCCTGCATGAAGTCCAGCAGAGCGCGCAGCAGCAGCTCTGGCAGCAGACAGCTGGCCATCGCAGTGGAGAAGGACTTCAGGCTGGAGGCGACCTCTATCAGCTGCAGCGCCACCCGAGGAGGAGGAGGCGCAAAGGACAGCATGCAGAGGCAGCCATGCTGGAGACCATAGCGGTGGCGGGCATCTGGACCAGGGAGCGTCGCAGGGCGGCCAACCTCAACCAAGAAGGCGACGACACTTGCGCGAGGTGCGGCGAGGCGATAGAGACAGAGGAACACCGCTACTACGCATGCCCTGCCAACGCAGAGATAGGGCACAGCAATGACACCGACCTGGCGAAGAAGGCGAAGGACGCGCTGGACCAGCGGCAAGACCTGCACTTCTGGCTCCGCGGCATCCCGCCAGCGGCCTGGGCAGCCAAGGTCGACCCAGACGAGGACGCGGCGAAGGCGGCGCAGATCTTCTGCACCAGCGAAGAGGCTCAGGCGGCAGCCCAGTCAGGGTACAAGGCTCGAGCAGACTATGTCTTCACGGACGGCTCAGGTGGTGCAGGGGAAACGGCCAAGGACCCCGCCTCAGACGCTGCGGCCGGGCAGTGGTGGCCTTCAGGTTCGACGAACAAGGGCGTCCGCAGGAAGTGGCCGCCTGGCACGGCACGATCAGGGCACCGCGCACGGTGCCACGGGCAGAGCTCACCGCCACGAGCAATGCCATCGGGTACACCACGGCGGCGACAGCCAGGGGGCTCAACATAGTCAGCGATTGCAAGTACGCCCTGGACGCACTCAAGCAGATCCAGGATCCTGAGGATCTGGACTACAGGAGCACGAACTACGACCTGGCTCCAGACGAAGCAGCAGCTGCAGAACAGCACGGACACCATCATGGGCCACCACATCCCAAGCCACCTGATTGAGCACCCAGCCGAGCTGGAGAGGTGGAATGGTCCCACCTGGTGGGTCATAGGAAACGAGATGGCAGACAAGTACGCAGGTTGGGGAGCGGAGCATGGAGCACTGGATCCAGCCATCATCGCGCAGCAGCAGATCAGGGACCAGATCGCCACGGCGGTGCAAAACCGGCTGCTGGCCATCGACATGGCGGTGACGGTGGAGGACCCCAACAAAGCCCCTCAGCGTCCCAAGGCCAAGCGCCGAAAGCCGCAGACGGCGAGGGACAGGGCAGCCCAGCTGGGACACGACTTGCGCAAGCTACATCCGCGATGGTGGTGCGCAACGTGTCGCAGTGGCCCAGCCAAAGGACAAAGCATCAGAGACTGGCTGGCAGAGACGGGAGAATGCCTCGGGAAGTACGGCGGCCACCAGGACCAGCACGGCAACGTCAGGCTCGCTTATTTTTTCTTTTTTTTTTTTTTTTTCTTTTTCTTTTTTTTTTGTTTTTTTCTCTTTTTTTTTTTTTTTTGTTTTTTTTTTTTTTTTTTTTTCCTTTTTCTTTTTCCTTTATTTTTTGTTTCCTTTCGTTTTTTACCATTTTTTTTATTTTTTTTTTTTTTCCCTTATCCTTTTTTTTTTTTTTTTCTCTTTTTTTTTTTTTTTTTTTTTTTTTCTTTTTTTCAGCGGTGCAGATCGGCACGCAGGTGGTTCACGTCTCCCACAAGACGCAGTTCACCCATGGCTGGCTCTGGTGCGAGAAATGTGGCGGCACCAGCTACCTTGGGGACCACAAGAGCAGGATCGTGGCAGGAGTGGCAAGGAAGCTGGCAAGGCCATGTCAGCCCCCAACAGCAGCAGGGCGGCGGGTCTTGGCGGACATGCAGAGGGGCAAGCTGCCAAGAGGAGCTAAGCCAGCAGCAGACCCAGTTGATGAGGTTCTCAACGAGATCACCATGCCTGGTGATTTCAAGCTCGGCCTGAGCAACCACGAGGCGATCGACCTGGACGGGGGCAGCTCAGAGGCAGGGGGCCCGCAGCCAGCTCCACAGCAGCCACCCAGCCATCCGCACTCTGTCGTCCACGCCAGCTGGAGGCTCGTGGACCATATGCAGGGCTACGCGGGGCAGTGGATGAACATGGTCGACCAAGAGGTCTGGGACGACATGGACGACTGGATGGAGCACTGCGTACCGTTTCTCCTGGCCATCACCAATGTGGGTGGCGGAGCGGACACGCAAGAGCAGACCAGGGCCGTCACCGTGCAGGAGCTTCAGCAGATCAAGGACTTCTGCGAAGAAGTCTGGCGCAACACGCACCGCACGCGACGGAGGCCCATGACCAGGATGCTTGCCCTCCCGCACGGTACAAGGCAGCAGGCAGCAAGAGTGCACATGGACGCCTTCCAGAACAGAAGGAACAACATCCTAGCGCACAGCATCCCCAGCAGCGAGCGCAGGCCGCTGCCGAGAACAGCGGAGGCCAGCCGAGAGTGGTCACCAGAGAACCTGGACGATGATGACTCGACCCCAGACAGTGAAGCCCCAGAGCTGGAGGGTGAGCCGAGCAACCAGGAGATGGAGACCATGGCAGGACCTGATCAGAGGCACGACGCCAACAGCCTGATGCAGACGGCTGTGCAGGTGGCAGTAACGCTGACCAAGCCAGTGGGGCCCGACCTGATGAAGTTCGTGAGCGAAGCCGATGAGGCCGGCCTGCTCCACCCAAGGCTTCGACACAACAAAGGAGAAGCTGACCAGGACCCCGAGCAGGAGGTGGCGTGGCTCGAGAGGAACAGGCTCGAGCAGCTCATGCAGTCGCTGGCAGGCTGCTGGAGCCAGAAAGAGGGCGAACAGGGCTGGCCATCGCGGCAGGCTGCGTGCGTGCCCCATGTGCTGAGGGCGCTGCAGACTGGTGTCTACCAGAGGCTGTTCAGCAACGTGTCAGGGCCGAGCCGCCAGCGCAGCCAGCGCCGAGCGGCGGAGGAGATCTGCCGCCTGGCACGGCTCAACAGCGGAGAGGCGCGCAGGCAGATCCAGCAGCAGGACCCGAAGGAGGCAGAGCGGCGCAGAGCAATGGCTGAGCAGTTCCTGGGCGTGACTGAGCCAGTGGTGAGGAGCCGCAGCCCGCGACCGCAAGCAGCAGCGCGAGTGCCAAGCAGGGCTCCAGCCAGACAGCCGAGGAGGAACCCAGAGGCCAGGGCCACCAGCAGCCCCGCCGAGCTGCGCACGGCAACGCCAGCGCCCGAGCTCGAGAGGCCCAGGGGGCCCAGGGCACCGCAGCCAGAGCGGCCCCTGGAGGCGGGAAGGGCGGAGGAGCAGCAGAAACCCTCCAGCAGGCCCCTGTGCAGAGAGGGGACAGGCCACCATGGACCCCTGCGCGGCGAGGGGGTAGGCCGCAGAGGACCCCAGCGTGGCGAGGGGTTAGGCCACAGCCCTGCGCCAGACGGGATGCAGAGGGGTGCCCGTCCCCCACCAGCAGGACGGAGCACCATGGACATGGCAGACCTCGACCACTTCCTTGAAGAGGAGAACAGCGAGGATTGCCTCCAGCAGCCCGTAGACAAGCAGGACAGCGATGACAACCACCAGCAGATCCCAGATGCACAGCACAGCATAGGGTACCACCTGGCAGACCGCAGAGGACCCCAGCGTGGCGAGGGGTTAGGCCGCGGAGGACCCCAGCGCGGTGAGGGGTTAGGGTTAGACCGCAGTGCCACCAAAGGCAAGCAGAGGCTCGAGGCGGAGGTCCCTGACGAGCCCAGTGAGCATGACGCGGACCTTTTGACCAACAGTGTGGTAGACAGGACCTCGCAACTAACAGAGCGGACCGATACCCTGGGAAACCGACAGACTGAACGCGAGGGGGAGGGCTTGGCCCGCGGATACCACGTGAACCGCGAACACAGCGAGTGGCATAGTCGGGGGACCTCGCCCGAGCCAGTAGGCAGTAGCACCGAGGATGGGGACAGTGCGAGACTCGGCGTTCCCCCGCGTGGCGAGGGGTTAGGCTGCAAAACTGCGCAGCCCGAGACGACGGCAGACTACGACGACACAGACCTGCAGCGGGACTTGGAGAAGTTTTTCGGCGACTTTCCCCAGCGCGGTGAGGGGTTAGACCGCATGGAACCCCTGCGTGGCGAGGGGTTAGGCCACGGCAATCCCCTGCGCGGTGAGGGGGTAGACCGCAGTGCAAAAGGCAAGCAGAGGCTCGAGGCGGAGGTCCCTGACGAGCCCAGTGAGCATGACGCGGACCTTTTGACCAACAGTGTGGTAGACAGGGCTTCGCAACTAACAGAGCGGACCGATACCCTGGGAAACCGACAGACTGAACGCGAGGGGGAGGGCTTGGCCCGCGGATACCACGTGAACCGCGAACACAGCGAGTGGCATAGTCGGGGGACCTCGCCTGAGCCAGGGGGCAGCAGCACCGAGGACGGGGACAGTGCGAGACGCGGCGTACCCCCGCGCGGTGAGGGGTTAGACCGCAGCAGGCCCCAGCGTGGCGAGGGGTTAGGCCACGGAGTACCCCAGCGCGGTGAGGGGTTAGACCGCAACGATCCCCAGCGTGGCGAGGGGTTAGGCCACGGCGGACCCCAAAGTGGTGAGGGGTCAGACCGCAGCAGGCCCCTGCGTGGCGAGGGGTTAGGCCACATGGGACCCCAGCGCGGTGAGGGGTTAGACCGCAACAGGCCCCTGCGTGGCGAGGGATTAGGCCACGGAGCGCCCCAGCGCGGTGAGGGGCTAGACCGCAGCAGCCCCCAGCGTGGCGAGGGGTTAGGCCACGAGTTTCCCCAGCGCGGTGAGGGGTTAGACCGCACCGACCCCCAGTGTGGCGAGGGGTCAGGCCACGACGGACCCCAGCGCGGTGAGGGGTTAGACCGCAACAGACCCCTGCGTGGCGAGGGGTTAGGCCACCACGGAGCACCCCAGCGCGGTGAGGGGCCAGACCGCAGCAGGCCCCAGCGCGGCGAGGGGTTAGGCCACGGAGGACCCCTGCGCGGCGAGGGGTTAGGCCGCAATGCACCCCAGCGTGGCGAGGGGTTAGGCCACAGCCCTGCGCCAGGCAAGGCGGCCGTGAAGGCCCACGAGTCCAGGGGCCAGCGGCCAGGGCGGTCCTTGGAAGAGCGCAGAGCGGAGGAGCGGCTGCGGCCGTCCATCAGGCTGCTCCTCAAGCTCTGAGAGGGCGGCGGCAGCATATCTTCAGACTGCCGCCGCTCACGGGGCGACTCCATGAGTCATTGAGTGGCGGCAGTGCGACGCCGTGAGATGAGGCCGCTGGCCCACCCCGCCTCGGGCCGTTCTGCCTGCGCGGGGTGCCGAGACCAGGGGCGCCCACTCACGGGCGAGAGCACGCGGGTTTAGAACTCCTCCTCCGGCCGCGCGCGGGTCTCTCCCGTGGCCGCTCGGTGGTCGGGGGCCGGCCGACTCCTCGGCCGCCCGTCGGACAGGGCGGTTGTCACCCAGGGGCGGCTGGATGTGTCAGAGAGGGGCCAATCCGATGGGGAGGAGGTTATTATGCTCTTGAATCGGGCCTGTCCCTCTACAGAGGGGAAATTAAAGAATAGTCAAAACACAGCTTTTGGACTACATCTGTTGTTGTTGTTGCTGTTGCTGTTGCTGTTGCTGTTGCTGTTGCTGTTGCTGTTGCTGTTGTTGTTGTTGTTGGAAAAGGGCGTGCGTGGGAGCCCCGGCCGCCCCCCCCCCCCCCCCCCCAGCAACCGAGCAACCGAGCAACCCTCTCTGGGGGTCTCCTGGGGGCGCCAAGGATTCCCTAATAGGATTTCCTAGGAAGTCAGTAGGCTTCCATAGGAATTCTATAGCCTCCCTAGGAATTCTATAGGCCCCCATCGGAATTCTATAGGCCGCCATCGGAATTCTACAGGCCCCATGGGAATTCTATAGGCCTCCATCGGAATTCGATGGGCCTCCATAGGAATTCTATAGGTCTCCATAGGAATTCTATATAAGCTCCCATAGGAATTTTATCGGCCTCCCAGGGAATTCTATAAGCATCCATAGGAATTCTATAGGCCTCCGTAGGAATTCTATAGGCACCCCCTATAGGAATTCTATAGGCCTCCATTGGAATTCTGTAGGTTTCCATCGGAATTCTATAGGCCTCCATAGGAATTCTATAGGCATGCATAGGAATTCTATATAGGTCCCCATCGGAATTCTGTTGGCATCCATACGAACTCCATGAGCCTCCATCGGAGTTCTATAGGCCTCCATAGGACTTCTATAGGCACCCATACACATTCTGTAGGCGTCCATAGGAATTCGATAGGCCCCGTATGACTTCTATAGGCCGTCATGGGAATTATCTATGGGCCTCCATTGGAATTCTATAGGCCCTCCAAACGAATTCTATATATAGGCCTCCATCGGAATTCTATAGGCCTCCATCAGGACTCTAAGGGTACCCATAGGAATTCTATAGGCCTCCTTACGAATTCTATAGGCCGCCATCGGAATTCTATACGCCTCCATAGGAATTCTATAGGCCTCTATCGGAGTTCCATAGCCCTCCATACGACTTCTATATCGGCCTCCATCGGAATTCTATACGCCTCCATCGGAATTCTATAGGCCTCTATCTGAATTCTATAGGCCCCCATTGGAATTCTATAGGCCCCCATTGGAATTCCGAAGTTGGCGCAGCCGCTGGGGTCTTCGGCGAAGCTCCCTGATGGGGGGCACGATCCGCGTGAGTGTTGCGCCGAAGTGGGCGCAGCTGAAGGGCCTCCGGCGGAGCTCCCCGATTGGGGGCCACGATCCACGTGAGGGGTGTGCCGAAATGGGCGCAGCCGCTGGGGTCTTCGGCGGAGCTTTCCGAGGGGGGGCCACGATCCAGGTGAGGAGTATGCCGAAATGGGCGCACCGGCTGGGGCCTTCGGCGGAGCTGCCCGATGGCGGGCCACGGTCCACGTGAAGGGTGTGTCGAAATGGGCGCAGCCGCTTGAGTTTTCGGCGGAGCTCCCCGATTGGGGGCCACGATCTTCGTGAAGGATGTGCCGAAATGGGCGCAGCCGCTGTGGCCTTCGGCGGGGCTCCCCGGCGGCAGGCCACGATCCTTGTGACTGAGGGGTGTGCCGACATGGGCGCAGCCGCTGGGGTCTTCGGCGGAGCTCCCTGATGGGGGGCACGATCCGCGTGAGTGTTGCGCCGAAGTGGGCGCAGCTGTGGGGCCTTCGGCGGAGCTCCCCGATGGGGGGCCACGATCCTTGTGAAGGGTGTGCCGAAATGGGCGCAGCCGCTGGGGCCTTCGGCGGAGCTCCCCGGCGGCAGGCCACGATCCTTGTGAGGGGTGTGCCGACATGGGCGCAGCCGCTTGAGTTTTCGGCGGAGCTCTCCGATTGGGAGCCACGATCCTCGTGAAGGTTGTGCCGAAATGGGCGCAGCCGCTGTGGCCTTCGGCGGGGCTCCCCGGCGGCAGGCCACGATCCTTGTGACTGAGGGGTGTGCCGACATGGGCGCAGCCGCTGGGGTCTTCGGCGGAGCTCCCTGATGGGGGGCACGATCCGCGTGAGTGTTGCGCCGAAGTGGGCGCAGCTGTGGGGCCTTCGGCGGAGCTCCCCGATGGGGGGCCACGATCCTTGTGAAGGGTGTGCCGAAATGGGCGCAGCCGCTGGGGCCTTCGGCGGAGCTCCCCGATGGCGGGCCCCGATCCACGTGAGGGGTGTGCCGCGGCCGCTGGGGCCTTCGGCGGAGCTCCCCGATGGGGGGCCAAGGTCCGCGTGAAGGGTGTGCCGAAATGGCCGCAGCCGCAGTCTGTATCGGATCTCGACAAGATCCCATGCAGTCTAGATCGGATCTGTATAGGATCCCATACAGTCTGTATCGGATCTGTATAGGATCCAATACAGTCTGTATCGGATCTTTACAGGATCCCATACAGTCTGAATCGGATCTGTATAGGATCCTATACAGTCTGTATCGGATCTCTACAGGATCGCATACAGTCTGTATCGTATCTCTACAGGATCGCATGCAATCTGTAACGGATCTCTACAGGATCGCATACAGTCTGTATCGGATCTCTACAGGATCCCATACATTCTGTATCGGCTCTTTACAGGATCCCATACAGTCTCTATCGGATCTCTATAGGATCCCATACAGTCTGTATGGGATCTAAACAGGATTACATACAGTCTGTATCGGATCTCTATAGGATCCTATACCGTCTGTACCGGATCGCTACAGGATCTCCTACAGTCTGTATCGGATCGGTATAGGATCCCATACAGTCTGTATCGGATCTCTACCGGATCGCATACAGTCTGTATCGGATCTCGACAGGATCACACAGTCTAGCTCGGATCTGTATAGGATCCCATACAGTCTGTATCGGATCTCTACAGGATCCCATACAGTCTATAACGGATCTCTACAGGATCCCGTACAGTCTGTATCGGATCTCTACAGGATCCCATACAGTCTGTATCGGATATGTATAGGATCCTATACAGTCTGTATCGGATCTGTACAGGATCCTATACAGTCTGTATCGGATCTCTACAGGATCCCATACAGTGTGTATCGGATCTGTATTGAAGCGGCGGCACGCCGGCACGCATACGTTTTTCACCCGTGGGACCACGTCAAGGTCCGTAGGGGAGTCCAAGGGAATTCCAGGTTTTTTTTTGTTGGGGGTTGATGGTTGCTGTTGCTGTTGCTGGGGGGGGGGGGGGGGGCAGAATGCGTCCACGGGGCTCTGAGCGCAGCCTTCGCAATAAGGCGAGGGCGGGTCCGGACGGCTAGAGCGCACGGGGCTCTCACGCACGCCTTTTCCTTGTTGCTGTTGTTGAAGATTATTACTTCTAAAGAATAATTATTGTTGGGACCCCTGGTGCACGACCCCCCCGCCGCGCCTAGGCCGCAGCCTCATTTTCATCATTTTCGTGAGGAAGTCTCAGGCAAAACGGGTTGGTCCGGATCCGGTTGTGTTGTTACGATCGGTTTTCCCTTGCAAAAAATAAGCTAAAGTGGACAGTTCTTGTTCTAACATAACCAAACTTCAAGAATCCCTTGCAAAAATAAGGTAAAGTGGACATTCGCGCGCGCAAGACGAAATCCTTCCAAAACCTTAGTTTTCGTAGCGATTTTAACATAAAAACATCAAAAAACCAATGGTTTTTCAAAAAAAATTGTCAAAATTTCATCCCGCGCGCTCTTGCGGATTCGTAGGAAACCCAACACTTTTTAATCATTTCTGTCAAACGGGCTTTTGCGAGCAACTTTTTTCGAACTTCTGCAACAACGGTTGCGCACCTGCCAGGGCCATCATCCCTGTCAAATAATACCATGCGGGACACATTCGTTTTCTTCGCGCGCGCACGCCGTCGTCGTCGGCCGCGGGGCCCTGAATAGTAGCCACGGTCGTCCGCATGCCACGAAGTGAAGTGTCCGAACGTCATAGGGCGGGAAGCTGGGTGTGGGTGGTGGCGAAGAGTCGTTTGGAAATTTGGTAGAGCTTGAACCGGCCCCCCCACAAAGTGGGGGTATTGCCCGCCTCCTATGAAAACCCTGGCACTGGTGAGAACGGTGTGTCCCCACGTGCTAGTAATTGTTGTTGTTGTGTTGTTGTTGTTGTTGTTGTGGTGGTGGTGGTTGTGGTGGTTGTGGTTGTGGTTGTGGTTGTGGTTGTTGTTGTTGTTGCTATGTTTGACCTTTTGGGGGTATTTTTCGAGTATTATTAATTTTTCGCCCACTATCCGCCTGTAGGGGGACACGCCCGACCTAATTATACTGTGGGTTTCTTAAGAAGCGCGGGGGGGTACCCCCCCAACGGGGGTCAACCTCGCCTCATCGTCACGCCGCGGCGGGGGTCGGAACGCCTTCGGCGCGCGGTGGCTGCCCGCGACGGGGGTCGATGTGGGGCTGTCGGCAGGGGTGACGCCCCCCGACGCGTATGAAGAAACTCGGAGTAGGCTTCCGAGATGCATTGGCGATGCTGCTCGATGTGGAGCCCGATTTTCTCCGCGCTGGCGTCGTCAATACACTGGCGACGTCGCCGATGCATCACCGATGCACCGGCGATGCATCGCCGACGCATCGTGGATGTATCGGCGATGCGGCGCGATCTTCCGACCCCATCTTTTCCGACCCCACTTAGTTGGCCTCTTTTGCAGTCACGAGGCTTCTTGATCGCGTTGCGGAGTGGTGTGGAAGCTCGAGCGGATGCCTCAGGTTGTCGAGGGCGGAGGCCGAGATCGCACCGAGGCTCGGGTGTACGAGGTTGGGATGGTCACCACCCACCAACCCACCTCAACCCAACCCGAAGGCCCCGATTTGCCTTCCATTTCCAGTGGGGGGGGGTCGGGAACATTGAAAAAACACGTATGGAACCCATACACCCCCAACCCGAAATTCAGGTCTTCGGGTTGGGTTGGGGTGGTCTGGTAGGTAGTCAGATGGTTGGAGGGGGTGCGAGAGAGGCCGATGGGCGGCGACGAGGAGCGGGAGGAGGGCGCGCGCGGGGCGGCGGAGGAGGCAGAGCCGGGGCGCCGCCATCGCCCCATCTCGTTCCCGAAGTTTCCCGGCTCAGTGAAGGCCAGGTCTCCTGCAGCCAAACAGGGGCTCGACAATGCTCTGATGAAGAGACGGAGGAGGCGGCGGAAGGAGGAGGAGGAGAAGGAGGAGGAGGAGGAGGAGGAAGAGGAGGAGGAGGAGGAGGAGGAGGAGGAGGAGGAGAAGGCGGCGGAAGGAGGAGGCGGAGGAGGCGGAGGAAGGAGGAGGAGAGGACGAAGAGGGAGGGAGGAGGAGGAGGAGGGAGGAGGAGGAGGAGGAGAGGAGGAGGAGGAGGAGGAGGAGGAGAGGGAGGAGGAGGAATTTGAGGGCCGTTGCAGTCATGGGTTCTGGGGGTGCTCGTCGCGTGCTCCTGCCTCCTCGGTCTGCGTGGGGGCTTCCGTCGCCCAGCGCCTCTGCGCTCTGGTGCTCCGCCCCTTCTGCCGCAGGGCTGGCTGCAGCACTGCTGGGTCCATCGCGAGGCCGTGCTGTCCGAGAGGCCATCGATGCCGCCTCCCCGCCGTCGGCGAGGGGTTCGATGGCCCCCCCGGGCGGCGCCCGCGGCGCCGCCCTTGGCGCGCCCCGCGGCCCGAGGGCTCCCCGCGGCGAGGAGCTCCGAGAGTCAGTGCTCGCGCCGCTCTGCTCCTCCCCCTGCCCGAGCTCCTCCGGCCGGGGGCGCCGGGCCCGAGAGTCAAGCAGTGGCGAAGCGTCCCAGCTCGCTTCTAGCCCTACCAAAGAATGTTCTCATAACCTTCTGTGGTTTCCACGAAATGTTCTTAGAACATTTCTGGCGGAGTTTGTCTTGTTGTATATCATCGGGTTTATGTTCTAAGTTTATATATATATATAAGCACATTGTTGGGTTCTAAGAACATTTCGTGGTAGGACTATAGGAATGCCGGGACGGTCGGTCCCTGCTCAAGAGAGGCGGCCCCGCGAGTGGGGGGGGCGCAGAGCTCCGTTTTTCGGGGGCGTCCAGGCTGAAGTCGGGCCTGTCCCTCTACCAGAGGAATATTCAACAACAGTCAAAACATAGTCGGGGGGGCGATTTTCCAAGCATTTTGAAACTATTTTTGAATGTTGTTTTTTCGGAGTTTGAACAATTCTTCGTGCAAAATCCCCCTGTAGGGGGACACGCCCGACCGAAGTCCAGGCGGGGGCGGGGGCCTCCGGCGGGGTCGGGCATCTCCCGCGCCGGTGACGTGCAGTCAGCGCGCCTACATGCCCTGAGATCCGACGCTCCAGAAGAAGTTGCCAACTTCTTTTGGAGCGTCGGATCAGAACGACGAAAAACGTTGGAGCGTTGGAGCTTCGGACGTTCCAGAAGAAGTTCTGGAGCGTCGGATCAGAAAGACGACCCAGCTCCAGACCAAGCTTCGCGGACGCCAAAGAGAAGTTCACCAGAAGGACCAGAAGCCGCCCGCTCCAACTGCTGGAGCAGGCGGCTTCTGGCCGCTTTCGGCCTCCATAAGGGGCCCTCGCTGGGCTTCGGGAGGGTGAAACAAAAGACGATCCAGGACGAAGAGCCGGCCCCAGAGAAGTGCTCCGGACCTCGGGAGCCCACGCGTCGACCAAATTGGAGCAGCTGCATCTGTCTGGGCAGTAAGGACGCGCGCCTTCATCTAGGATTCGGGGGTGGACAGAACCCCCAACAGTGACGCGTCGATTAGTGAATTGTCCGTTTTCGGTTCTCGAGAGGGCGCCGATGCCGGTATTTTCCAAGCCTGCGCCCACCAGGTTTGGGCCTCAGGTCGTTTTCACTAAACCACGTTTTACTAAAGGGGGGTCTGTCCATCCCCGAAAGGACGCGCGCCTTCATCTAGGATGCCCTTGTGTCCTTGCCTCTGCGGCCCGTCCTGCGCCGCTGCCACTGATCGCCCGCCGCCCCAGAATCCCAGCTTCGGCCTCCAAGGGTCTTGCGTCCTTACCGTAGCTATGGTGTCCGCGTGCCTTGAAAGAGAGGTGGCCGGCTGCAAGTTGACCGCGGAGGCTGGGTATATAGCATATGGGCCACGTGTGCGTGCGAAGGGCTGCGTGTAGTAAGTGCGAGGTGCTCAACATCGCACTCGGCCTGGGCAAGACCGTCATCGTGACCAACGCCAACATGTGCTGGGTGCATCCGTGCACTTTGTTTTCTCTCTTGCTTGCAGATGCGGTTTTCTGGCGCTTCCTGTGTGGAAGCCCCCCTGACGCCTGGGAGTGGCACTATTGTGGCAGTCTGGGGTCGACGTCGGTACTGCACTGCGTGCGAGATATGCTTGCGAGAAGGCGAGGAGCAGCGGCGCGGGCCGAATTCGTCCCCCCGCGCGCAGGAGAGGGGCAGAGAGAGAGAGAGAAGTATGCGTGGCGGCGGGCGGGGCGCATGTTGTCGAAGGACTACGACTACGACTACGACTACTACTACTACTACTACTACTACTACTACGACTACTACTACGACTACTGCTACTACTACTACTACTACTACTACTACTACTACTACTACTACTACTACTACGACTACTACTACGACTACTGCTGCTACTACTACTACTACTACTACTCCTACTACTACTACTACTACTACTACTACTACTACTACTACTACTACTACTACTACTACTACTACTAGTACTACTGTTACTACCACTGCTACTACTACTACTACTACTACTACTACTACTACTACTACTACTACTACTACTACTAACTCCCAGGGGGAACGACTTAGGAGGTTGCCCGACTTCATCGCCGTTCAGGCTTGAGATCACTTGACATCAGCCAGAGCAGCTTCTCAGCGCCGCCACGCCAAGGCGCCACCCTCCTCGATGCCCTCGGCCCGACCGACGTTTTGGGCACGGTGGCGCTCTGCACGGTGGAGTCCTTTCCCAGTCAGTGGGGAAGCTGGCGATTGATAAGCGTTCCCTGCCGCTATAGTTGTCCGTAAGAATTGACGCCTGCATTGCCATTCGATGATTCGAAGAAGAAGAAGAAGGAGGGGGATATAATAATCTGCAACTGTATAAACAACAGCTTTCGGAGGTTCGCGCGGATTTCTTGGATCGGCGCCCGAACCCCTCCCTGGCGTGCGGAGCGCGCCACGGGTTCCCAGCGCCGATCTAAGAGATCCATGGGGACCTCCAGAAGTTTATGTTTATACAGCTTTCTCTCCTTCGAGTTACCCCTTCAGCCAGAGTCGAGTACTCCCAAACAGCCCAGGGGTGGCAACGCAGGAGCTCCAGGAGGATCGGAGGTTGATAGACCTCCTACCCTGACACGTCGATTAGCGAATCGGCCGCTTTCAGTTCGCGAGAGAGGGTCGGTGCCGTCATGTTTGCGGATCCAGGTCCGTCGGTTTCGGTCCTAGGCCGTTTTCACTAAGGGGTGGTTTACTTAAGGGAGGTTTGTCCACTGCCGAGAGGATGATGAGGGTCCAGCCGGCCAGATCCATGCCACCACCGCGGCAGGGGGCCGTTATTGTGGGAGCCGCCAGGTCCAGGCGGCTCGACGCGCGGCAGGAACGCGCAGCAGCGCGCCCAGATCTCCAGAGACTCCACGCACATATGTATACATATATACACTTCTACATATACATATACACATATATATATATATGCAAGTTTATAGATGCCTATATATACACATATACATATGTATAACATCGAGAGAGAGACTGACAGACAGGCAGACAAAACAGAAAGGAGAAGAAAGCGAGAGACAGAGAGAGAGAGAGAAGGTCTGAGTGGTCTCCATATGTTCGGCCTCTGGAGGCCGGTTTCGGACCCTGGGGCTGTCAACATAAGCTGCTCCAGTCGGGCGGGGCTAGGACGAGGATCAGTCCGTTTCAGAGCGTTCCGGGACGCTCTCAGAGCGCTCTGGAACGCTTTGCGAATGCCGCGGCGCCCGAGATATCCTCCAGAGCCGCCAGATCTCGGAGATTCTCAATCTGTCTTCCCCCGGTGTTATCCTCGTCCTGGCTTCGTCTTAGAAAGGCTTCCTGGTGTGAGCTCCCAGCGGCGGGTACGTGAGCGGGTGACCATGTCCACATCCGCGGCCCCGCAGCCCAGACGCATCCTCGGCCACCCCACGTGCGCGGCTCTCTCTGCGTGGAGAGGTGTCCTCCCCGCGCAGGTGCCCCGACGAGGGGATCCCTCCAGGGTCTCGCGCCTCTCGGTATGGCCGGGGCCCACGGTGGCATACGTGTGGACGTGGACATGCTGGTCGCCCGTGGAGCTCTTGCCCCTCCATTGCCCCCCGCCCCTTTTCCTGAGGAAGCCAACAGGTTCTAGGCCTCCCAGGTGAGGTCCGAGTAGATGGGATCGGACAATCACGCCGTATCGCCGATGCATCGTCGATGCGGCTCGATGTGGAGCCCGATTTTCTCCACGCCGTCGTCGCCGATGCATCGCCGAAGTCGCCATTGCATCGGCGATTCATCGGTGATGCATCGACGATTTGGCGCGATCCTCCGACCCGATGTACTCCGACCCCATTTGGGAGGCTTCTATCTTTCCATTCCGTTGCCCCCCCGCCCTTCTTTCCCGGGCGAACCAAAAAGATACCGATACCGCTACTTCCCGAATCTCTCCCGGGGTCTGTTCTGACCAGAGTGTCGAGGCGAATCCAGCGGTGGCGACGAGAACCTCTCAGTAGGCCCAAGTCGGGGAAATCGAGGGGATTGTAGTGGTAATTATGGGCACCTTTTCCTCCTTTGATTCCCCCCTCCCCCCCCCCTTGGCCCTACGGTGCCCGGGCAAAAAGTGTCTACACCATGGCAGGAACGCGGTGCAACAGGATAAAAACCACAACTGCAAAATGCCCTTGCTTCGCACCCCTCCCCTCAAAACCCAAAGTTGAAGTGTCCTTATTTTGTCCCTGGCCTTTGGCCTTCCGCCTAAGCCCGTCAACTTTGAGTTGAGGGGAAGGGAGGTATACATGTTGGTCTGACGTACTTTAAGAATTCAAGTTCTTGGCGAGACAAGTGTGGACACTTTTAGTCCACCCCCCCTTGGCCCTAGAGGCGGATGGAATGGAGGGCCGGCTGCACGCAGAAGGAAGGCCTCCCCCCAGCCCCAAAGGGCGGACGGAGGAAGAGGAGAGGGATGGGGAGCGGATGTCGGCCATGAGGCCCTTTTGCGGAGGAAAAGGCAGAGCAGGATGATGATGATGATGATGATGATGATGATGATGATGATGATGATGAGGATGAGGATGAGGATGAGGATGAGGAGGAGGAGGAGGAGGAGGAGGAGGAGGAGGAGGAGGAGGAGCGGGAGGATGATAAGCTAGGCGCGCCCGCGTCATATTCGACGTCCTACCCCTCCCTCCCATCCCTACGTCCTACCCCTCCCTCCCATCCCTTATCTTGGCGTAGATCTCCTCTCTATTCGCACAGTCGGATGTCCTAGCAGGGCATAGCATTACATGGCACAGCACGGTGTTGAAGATCAACGCGTAGCCTAACGCCCCAAAGTTTGGGGGCGGCTTCTGCGGCCCCAAAAATCAACGAATCGGCACCGAAGGTGTAATCACTTCCGCTGGTTGCTTCGGGGGACCATTTTCTAGTTTGAGGGTCCTATTGGAAGGACCGAGAACCATGCCGTGGCATGGCGCTGGCAATAATGACGCCAGCGCTGCAGCGGGAGCACGATTCGGAACGAGCGGAAACGCGGAAATAGGCCAGCGCTGCAGCGGGAGCACGATTCGGAATGAGCGGAAGCGCGGAAATGAAACCAGCGCTGCAGCGGGAGCACGATTCGGAACGAGCAGAAGCGAGAAAATGAGGCCAGCGAGAGCAGCATTTCGGAAAAGAACACAAGCGAAAACCCAACTTGCCGACATCCTGTGCGGAAAAAAACGCGAGGGGGTCCGAACACTCAGAGACAGATTCCGCCACAGACTCAGGGGAGAGAGGAGAGCAGTATTCATATTGAGTCATTGGAGGAGGAGGAAGAGGAGACGGAGCAGGAGGAGGAGGAGGAGGAGGAGGAGGAGGAGGAGGAGGAGGAGGAGAGGGAGGAGGGGCTGGAGGCGGAGTAAGGCGGAGGGGGGGAGGAGGAGGAGGAGGAGGAGGAGGAGGAGGAGGAGGAGGAGGAGGAGGAGGAGGAGGACCAGTGTAAACCCAAGAGTCATCAAAGATTTTGGAATAAACCCTCCCTCCACGCTCCCCCTTCATAGGCCCCTACAACGGTTCATTTCCATTGAGGGAACTGCCTCGTTGGAGGACAACCTTGGAAGACCCTGAAGCCTGCCAAAACATGAGTCGAGACTCCAACGCCACGGGTCAACAGGGCTGTTGCGTTTTGACGATCTTGAAACGTGCCAGAATGCCATTCCTGGGACTTCAACACCGCGAATCAACGTAACTGTTGCACCCGCATGGTCCTGAGTCCCTCCAACATATCATATCTGGTGCGGGTATCACATAAAATCCGTGAATATCCTGCAAATATGTCAATGAAATGTGCGCGGCGCTAAGGCGAGAGCCACATTCTGAAAAGGAACCGCCCTCAATCCGAGAAACTGTTGCAAATGTTCAAAACGAATGTGCGCGGCGCGAAGGCGAGAGCCACATGTTTAAAACGCGTCGCCCTCAATTCGTGAAGTGCTCTTAACTTTTTGAAGCGGCTGTGCGCGGCGCTAAAGGCGAGCCACGCTTTGAAAACCACCCGTCCTCAGGCCGTGAGATTTTTGCAATTGTTTAAGACGATTGTGCGCGGTGCTGAGGCGAGAGCCACGTTTTGAAAACCACCCGCGTGAAGCTCTTTGCAAATGTTAGAAAAAAACGAATGTGCGCGGCGCGAGGGAGAGAGCCACACTGTGAAGACGGCCCGCCCTCCATCTGTCACACTGTTGCCAACTTGTAAGCTTCAGGGTCATACATGGTGAGGAGGTCTCAGGCGAAACGCCCAGCCCGCCCTAGAAATCGACTTTGGGTGCGACACGGAACAAATATTTTTCCGAATCAGAATTTGCTTTTGAAGGGGTCCTAGCAAATTCACATGGTTAGGTTAGTTGTGGCGCCGAATTCGGAGGCACGCCCGGGTGCTTGGGTGCCCGGTAGCCCTATAGCCCTATCGCCTCATAGCCTTATAGCCTTGAATCGCTCCATAGCCCCATAGTCCCATAGCCCTAATAGCCTTATAGCCCTATAGCCCTGTAGCCCTATAGCCCTATAGACCTTCAGCCTGATAGCCCTATAGCCCGATAACCCTATAGCCCCAGAGCCTTATAGCCCTATAGCCCCACAGCCCTATAGCCCTAAAAAGATTGATGGATGGGTTTTTCCTGCATCATATCAGGAAAAGGAATGGGTGGAGGAGGGGGAGGATGAGTAGGAGGAGGAGGAGGAGGAGGAGAAGAAGAAGACGAAGACGGCGGATGTTGTCTATTTCTGCCACGGGGGACAGCTGCCACGATACCATTGGGGAGTGGCGAGACCACCCAGAGGGGCGTCTAAACGCCTGACCTCCGCTACCGTGCGACCAGCGGAGGAGGAGGAGGTGGAGGAGGAGGAGGAGGAGGAGGACCAGTGTAATCCCAAGATCCCCCCCCACTTTCTTCTACATATCGGAGGATGCAGGGAGATGATCCCGCAGGTCTGGGCGGCCCACAGGAGGCGCGCTGGTCCTGCTCGGGGTGCGGGCTCGCCTCGTGGACTGGCGCGCCGCCCACGCGCAAGGACCTTTGCAAACCCAGGACGCACCAACGATGCTGCAATCCCACCCTCCCCATAGTTCCCTACAAGAATCAATGTTCCTTGCGGGGAGTGGCCCATTAGAAGACAACCGTCGAATCATCCTCCGTCGTCTCAAGAAAAAACACATGTTCTGGGATTGCCACGCCGTGGATCAACGTGATCTTGGCGTCCTTGCGCAATCTTCAACCGTGCCAGAACGCAATTCCTGGAAAATTAGCACCGCGAATGAACGTGACTTTTGCGTCCTGAGAGTCCTAAACCGTGCCCGAACACAATGCCTGGCATTTAAATTGTACGAATCCTGGACACAGTTGAATTGTTATAGGACGAGTGTGCGCGGCGCCTGCGGCGAGAGCTACATGTTGAGAAGGAACCGTCCTCTATCCTTGAAGTTGTTGCACCCTTTGCAAGACGAGTGAGCACGGCGCTATGGCGAGAGCAACATTTTGAACACCGCATGTGCTCCACCCGTGAAGCTCTTGCAATCCTGTAAGACGAATGCGCGCGCCCAAAAGGCCAGAGCCTTGTGTTGAAAATGGCCCGCCTTCCATCCGTGAAACTGTTGCAACCCTTGAAGACGAATGATCTCGGCGCGGCGAGAGCCGCATTTTGACCACGACCCGCCTTCCATTCGCGAAGCGGTTACACATTTTACGTTCCATGATCTTACACGGTGACGGGGTCTCAAGGTCAACGCCCAGCCTGCCCTGCCGACGCGCCCAGGGGTGCGACCAGAAGGAGTTGTTTGTGAGGAAAAGGGATGGAAGAGGAGGGGGAGCAGGAGGAGAAGGAGATGGAGGAGGAGGAGGAGGAGGAGGAGGAGGAGGAGCAGGAGGAAAAGGGGGGGGAGGAGGGCGGGAGGCGGGAGGAGCAGGAAGGTGGAGGTGCAGGGAGGTGGAGGAGGAGGTGGAGGAGGAGGAGGAGGAGGAGGAGGAGGAGCAGGGAGGACTGCGGAGTGGCGGAGGAGGAGACGGGCCGGGCCGGGAGCCCGCCCCCGCGGAGGTCCGAGCTACCGCCAACCTCTTCATACCCTCGGCGCGCCCCGGGCGTGGCCGCGGGGCGGGGGGGGGGCGGAAGGCACTGGTTGGGCTGTGCCGTCGCCGTGGGCGGCCCCTCGCCACTCCACGTCCTCCTCGCCCCTCCACCGCCTCGCCCCTCCACCTCCTAGCCGTCCTCCTCCTCCTCCTCCTCCTCCTCCTCTCCTCCTCCTCCTCCTCCTCCACAATTGCTCAATATGAATACGCCTCTTCCCCCGATGGCGGCCTGAAAGTAGCCGACCCCCCCCCCGCGTACTGTTTTTTTACACACAGGATTCCCGGGAGTTGTGTTTTCGCCTGCGTTTTTTCAAAATGCTGCTCTCGCTGAGGCGCCGGCCTCATTTCTGCTCCCGAATCGTTCCGAATCGTGCTCCCGCTGCAGCGTGGGCCTCATTTTCGGATCGGTGTTTGGCCTCCGTCGTTCAGGATGGCGTTCTCGCCCCAGCGCGGGCCTCCTTCTCGCGCGCCCATCCGCCCGCCACCACCGCGCCGCACCACCACCACCACCACCACCACCACCACCAGCAGCAGCAGCCACCACCACCACCACCAGCACCACCACCACCACCACCACCACCACCACAACCACGCACACACGCACGCACGCACGCACGCACGCGCACCACCACCCACTACGCACGCGCGCGCGGAGCCACAGGTCCGCTACGACACGCGTCCGCGGATAGAGAAAATCAGCGCCATGGTAAGGGATGGGAGGGAGGGGTAGGACGTCAGATATGACGCGAGCGCACCTAGCTTGTCCTCCTCCCCCTCCTCCTCCTCCTCCTCCTCCTCCTCCTCCTCCTCCTCCTCCTCCTCCTCCTCCCCAACCTCTTTCTTCCTCCTCTGTTTTTCTCTCCTCCTCCTCCTCTGCCTCTTCCCTCTCTTCCTCCTCCTCCCCTCCCTCCCACTGCTCCGCACGTGCCCGTCTGCGCCCCGCGCCCTGGAGGGCCCAGGGCCCAGGCGACGGCGAGGGGCCTCCCCTAGGGAGCCCCCCTGGAGGCCCTCCGCGGGGCTCACCACGGGGCCTCCGCGAGGGGCTCGGGGCCTCCGCTCGAGCAGCGGCGAGGCGTCCCAGCTCGCCTACTCTTGGCATCGCTCGGACGTGTGCATTGTTTCTTCGGCGAGGACCATCGAGGAGCATCCTTGATCATTTGGCGAAACAACCACGCACGAAACCGAAAAACAACACAGGGAGTGGACGTCCGAGCGATGGCCAGTATTGGCCTGCCAAACGATGTTTGAGGAACCTGTCGTGGTTTGCACGAAGTGTTATGAGAGCATCGCTGGCTGAGACTGTCTCGACGTAGCACATCGGGCTTGTGTTCTAAGAACACTGCTTTTGTCATTCGAGCAGTCGGGGGCTCTAAAAGCATGTCGTGGTCGGCCTGTAGGAATGCCGGGACGGTCGGTCGGAGCGAGAGTCGGCGGCGAACAATCCATTGGAGGGTGTCTGCGTACACGCACAGTCAACCCGTATCCTAAGGACGCACGCGAAGGATATGCAAGGCAAGGGCTTTGGAAGGCCATGTCGACACTCTGCGAGCGGGGCGCGGCTAGCGAATGCGGCCAAGGAAGCGCCCAACGGGAAGGATGCAAGGGTAACCTTGGAACGTTGCTCATCCTTTCGGCGGCGAGCCTGGGGGGCAGTGAGAAGGGGCGGGCCTTCTCAGAAGGCTCCGAAGCCCCCCCGGCCTTCTGAGAAGTGTTCTCAGCCTTCCCCGAAGACACGGACAATTGCTCAGAAGGTGCCAGGGCTTCTGAGAAGTCCCGCCGCCTTCTGAAAAGGCCTGCCCCTACTCATTTCCCCCCCTCGCTCGCCGCCACGAGGGGGCGACCCTATCGATCCGATCGATTCGATTCGAGGCCGATTCTGGCCAGACCGATACAGTGCGGGCACGGTCGCACGAAGCCAGCGCCATACGCCCCACCCTGAAAGCCCGCGCGCGAAGCACGCCGAGAGGGGAAGCCCGGGGCACCCTGAGCGCAGCAGCTTCTCGACGGCCTCGGGAAGTCACCGCGAGCCGCGCGGGTCGAAGAGACCCAGGGCACCCTGGCGAGAAGCATCTGGTTGCTTGATGCTCCGGACGGGCGAGAGGGGGGGATTGGGAAAGGGGGGGTTGTGAAATTCCCTGCATGCAGCTGGTCTCGGCCTCACCGAGGGGCCCATTCCTCGATACATAGCCGCCTCCGGCGCCGGGAGGCGCCGGGAAAATCAGCTACGCGAGCTGATTCTCAGACCCCCCTTTGCTATCCCCCCCTTCGCCCGACCCGCGATGCGCGCCTCCACTGTGCGACTCGACTCAGACATGGAGCCCGACGGCCTTCAGAGCAAAGAGGTGCCGACGCCGCTGCCCTTCTTCCTCGTCGCCACGGCCGGAGTCGCCTCGGAGTCTTGGTCGGAAGGCCCTCCGAGAGAGAGGTCGATGGAGTGTGTCTCGGAGATTGAGATAGACCTCCTACCCCGACACGTCGATTAGCGAATTGGCCGTTTCCGGTTCGCGAGAGGGCGTCGCGGCCGTCATCTTTGCGGGTCCAGGTCCGTCGGTTTCGGTCCGAGGCCGTTTTCACCAAGGGGAGGTCTATTAAAGGGAGGTTTGTCCACCGCCGAGTCGATGGAGTGTGTTCCACCAAGGCTGGACCCAGACGCTGTTTTGCCGGGCGTCGGCGGTGTGCTGTTTTTCTCGTTTGGGCAGGGAGGTGCAGGGAGGCAGGCAGAGCAGAACTGAACACAAAACGAAGACACAGCACGAAGCACAACTTTCAGGTCCAGCCCTGCCGTTCCACCAGACCCGATGCGTCCCGACGCTTGCGCTACTGAGTATATTTGCGCTACCGATATCCGATTCGATTCTGCTTCCGTGCTACTTGCGGACCGACTCGATACACGTTCCGCTCTGATCATTCTCGCCCCTCCAAGTCCTCCTCGCCCCTCCACCGCCTTCTCGCCCCTCCATCTTCCCCTTCTCCGTCTCCTCCTCCTCCTCCTCCTCCTCCTCCTCCTCCTGCCCCCTCCTCCTCCTGCCCCCTCCTGCTCCTCCTCCTCCTCCTCCTCCTCCTCCTCCTCCTCCTCCTTCTCCTGCCTCCTCCTGCCTCCTCCTCCTCCTGCTCCTCCTCCTCCTCGCTCCCAGTCCGATCTGATCTGATCCGATTGATTGATTCGATGTTGACGGCTCCTGCGCAACTTACTGCATGCAGCTGGTTTCGGCCCCGTTGTTTCGCGGCTCATCTCAATGCGGTCGGGAGCTCTGATCGCGATGGTTCCCCGCCACGGTGTCGTCTCCTCGAGTTTGCGAGAAAGGGGGCAGTCGAGGAGCAGCTGGTCGAGAGGAGGGAGGGCTGGACGAGGAGAAAGAGCAGGAGGAGTACCCTGACTTTTCGCTCCGCGATCAACAACACGACGGATGGTCGTTCTTCTTATTATGTGTTGTGTCGTGGTAGATGGGGTCGGAGGATCGCGCCGCATCTCCGATCCATCGCCGATGCGGCTCGATCCGGAGCCAGATTTTTTCCATGTTAACGGCGCCGATGCATTGGCGATGCGAAGCGATCCTCCGATCACATTTTCTCCGACTCCATCTGGGATGCCTCCAATGGCGCGCCGCCAAGTCCCTCTTCTCTTCATCTTGGATCCCAGCCTCCCTCCCGCTCCACCCCTGAAGCGGAGCTGGGAAGGTTGTGCCGATGCTGAAGCTCATCGACGTCATGCGCGCGCCTCGGCGGTGCGGCAGCGCCTGCTTTAGCGATGTGTCGTTGTTGCAAGTCGTGGGGAGAGGAGGTGGTCGATCGTGGGCTCTATTACGTAGGGTAGGTACGTGTCGTGCCGGCGCGGCAGCGACCCCGCTGCGGGCGCTCGGGTGGATCGATCCACGCGGTGCCAGAAGCCGACGCCGAAGTCGGCACGACGCAAGCTTGCCGTACCCCTTTTGTGAAAGGCAGCCATGCAGCTCGCGCGCCAAGAACTGCCGGCTACCGCCGAAGCCCTTGAGAAGGTCGCCGAAGGCCTCGAGAGATCGGTATCACCTAAGCAAACAGACATTTATATAAATATATACATATATATACGTACATACATACATGCATGCATGCATGCATGCATGCATACATACATACATGCATGCATGCATGCATGCATGCATGCATACATACATACATTTACACATGCACATATATTTTTATGTGTATATATATATATACATATACATATGTATACACAAATATATGCAGATGGTGTGTGTGCCATGGCCCCCGAGGGGCGACCCGCGCTCTCAGAGATGTTCTGGTATGTGCTCGGTGGCTGGCGCGTTCTGACTGCTCATACGCGCCGGCCATTGAAAGTAGGCGCTCTGGGATGGCCAGATTCTGGTTTGGTTTGGGCGCCTTCCTGCTTCAGTGATCGAGTGGTCTCCCCTCTTCCTCCCTCTTCGGGGGGCGGGCGGAAGCCCAATCTACTTTCACCGCCTTCCTACCTCATACTTCTACCTACTTTGTTCCTCCTCCTCCTCCTCCTCGTCGTCCTCCTCCTCCTCCTTGAACCCCTCTGGTTCAAGGTCGTCTGGCCCGAGCCAGCCCCTGGCTCAGGTTCGCGGCGCTCGGGCCTCGGTGCGGTGTCCTCGCTCGGCGCGGCGCTCTCTGGCGCCGCCCCTGCGCCAGCGCCCGCTGCTGGCGGCGGCCCAGCGCGCCGCCCCTCCCGGGCATGCCCTGCCCGCTGCCGCCGCTGCGGCCGCCGGCCCGCCGCCGTCGGCGGCAGCCACCGGCGGCCTGCCGGGCCCCACCGCCGCCGCCGCTGCTGCGGGCGGCTCCTCTCCCCCAGCCCCGCCGACGGCGGCGGGCGGCGACCCTGGGCTTTGCATGTGCGCCGCGGCCGCCGCGGCCGCTGCCCCGTCCGCCGGCGGGCGCTCTCTGGCATCTGCTGCTGCTGCTGCTGCTGCTGCGTCTGCCGCTGCTGCTGCCGCTGCCGCCGCTGCCGTTGCCTCCGGCGGCCGAGGCGGCGGCGGGCGGCGCGCTGGCTGGTGCGGCGGCCTGCGGCGTACTGCCCTCCAGGCCGATGCCGCCCTCCTGCGTGCCGCCGCCGGCGGGCGGCCTGGCCGCTGGAAGCGCCGCTGGGCGGCCTTGGTCTGCCCTCCCCCCCGAGACCTGTGCGAGACCTTCGACCGCGGCGTCGACGGCGCGGACGACGAGGACATGGAGGACGAGGGTGTGGAGAACGTGGGGGAGGTGGACGGCGAGCACGAGGTCGTGGAGGACGACCTGGAGGACGCGAGCGTGGAGGGGGAGGACGAGGACAAGGATCCGTTTACCTCCTGGGGACCCCGCCAGATTCACAGCCGATGGTGGCATGGAACAGTTCTCCCGGAGGCGCCAGACAGAGCTGAAGCACGGGCCCAACATCACCGGCAAGCCGCCCGGGTACCTGTCGTTTCTGGCTGAACCAGGGTCCGCCAGCATCCTGGACGGTCTTGGCGCGACCTGCACGGTCCCCGCGGCGGGCTGGGCACAAATCGTGGCGCACCGCACGCCCTGCGAGCTGTCCCTAGGCGAAATTCACCAGCACGACGGAGTCCATCAGCACGATCCCGAGCAGCTTAAAGGTTGAAGGATCGCCCGAATCGCCCCGCCTTGCCACGGCGACTTCAGGGCGCCCCCCCCTGCGACGCGGACGACCCCGTATCAGGAGAGGAGGAAGAGAGAGGAAACCCTCAGGTCGACGGATGCTCCCCGTGCGGCGCGGTTCACCCCACCCCGGGGGGGCTCCAGCGCCGACAGGGAGGGCACCGACCCGCCCCCCCGATCCTGCACCAGCGAGGTGCGCCCGAACGCTCGTGATGCAAGGTGGTTGGAGGCGGGGGGGTTGTTCGGGATGGCCCCCGCGCGACGCAGATCGCCCCAACCCCCGGGCGCCGCCACCCGCAGTGGGGCAGCGCAAACCCGGATGTCCGAACCTGCGCCACTTGAGTGCAATCCCGCACCCAGGGAGGAGGGAAACAGACACGACCCCCCCAGGCCGACTGACGCCCCCCGTGCGACGCGGAGCCTCCCACCCTGCGGGCTTCGTTGTCCGCACGGAGGGCGAAGACCCGGTTGTCCGAACTTGCGCCAGTGCCCCGCGTCCAAGGAGGAGGGGGAGAGAGGGGCCCCCAGGCTGACGGTCGCTTTCCGTGCGATGCGGAGCCCCCCATTCTGCGGAGTCCGTTGTCTGCAGGGAGGGCGCGGACCCAGATGGCCGAACGCGCTCCAGTTCGGTGCGACCCTGTATCGTGGGAGGGGAGACAGAGAGAGAGAGAGAGAGAGAGAGAGAGAGGGCCCCCCACCAGTTTGACGGACGCCCTCCGCGCGACGCGGGGCGCCCCACCCTGGGGGCTCCGCTGTCCGCATGGAGGGCGCAGACCCAGATGGCCGAACGTGCGCCACCCCGCCGACAGGGAGGAGTAAAAGGGAAGACCTCCCTCGGTTGACGGACGCCCGAGTTCCGCGCGGCGCGGAAGAAAGGGCATGCGGGCTCGTTAGACGCCCATTGCGCGATGGAGGCTACCCCGCCCCAGGTGGGGCGCAACCTGCCAGGGGGGCCCGGGCTCACTTCGGAGCCCCCCAGCGGCGCGCCCAGGAGGCGGGCCGCGGCGCGGTGGTCGGCCTGGTTCCCCCCGTGGCCCACCCTGCCCACGCGTGCAGGGGGGCCGTGTCTCCCCTGGGCGTGACGATGGCCGCGGGGAGGGTCCAGCCCCAGCTCGCTGATCCTGCGCCAGTTCGGCGCACGCCCCGACCCGGGGCGAAAAAGGGGGCAGGCGGGGGCGGGCCAAGGCAAGGGCGCGGGGGGCGCATGCGGGGGCGGAGGGCGGAGAGAGCCAGGACATCCCCCG